GATGGTGGGTGGGTAGGTGTGGTGGTTGTAGATGATGGTGGGTGGGGAGGTGTGGTGGGTGCAGAAGATGGTGGATGGTAGGTGTGGTCTGTGGTAGGTGAGGTCGGTCTGTGCAAGCTCTCCTGTGATTAATTTCATTTTCCCAGTAAAGTAGGAAGTAAGGTCGTCATCTGAGAAAAAGGATAGTGGATGAATTGCTGAGGGTTTGTGCAGAGAGGAAAAGACTTGGATAGTTGTCTGAGACAGAGAGGGATTGAGTTAGCAGTGAGTTAGGCATAGTATAATTGTGTACTAGCATTAAGGGCCCACTTGAGGTTTTTGTAAAAAATTTAACATGAGACCAGTCAGCATGGATGTGCATTTTTCTTTTGCCCAATTTAACAGCAGGGATTCAGGCTCGTGGGTGACAAATAGTGGAATTATCCAGGGCTATGATCTATTAAACATGTGACAGAGATAAAACTTAGCAAAGCACTGGACACTGCAAGTACTAATTCACTGTTTATGTAAGTGATATCTGGAATGTAGAAATGTTTTGAAATCTGTTAGTAATGGACAAGTAAGCGTAGTATCAAAGTTATAGAATGAATAATTAAATTTCACATAATATATATTAAATGAAGTATATTCATGTTTCCTGGAAAATTAGAGGTCCTTTCAATTTTTCTAAAAGAATCCTAACAATGTTATAACTATTAGTTACACCTTGTATTATGAAATTAACTCTATGTTATCTATGTGTGTTCACAAAGTACATCTATGTGAATATATGTGAACTGGTGTGTTTTAATGACTGATGTAATACAGTGGTGTTAATTCATTACATATTCACTTTAAAATATTAACAGCTTCTTTTTATTGAGCACCCACTATGCCCCAGGCACTTAACTAAACACTTTGAATATATGATCACATATAATCTTTACAACAACTTTTTAGAAGAGTTACTGTGTTTGCTCTTTGAGAGATGGGAAAACTGAGGATAAATGACTTGCCCAAGACTAGGAACCTGTAAGCAGCAAGGCTGGGGTTCGTATCCGGGGCCGTTTGGCTCCAAAGCAGAGGGTCACTCACTGAGCTGTGCTGACCTCAGTGGTTTATAATTCCCACCGGTCCCATTAGTCAGAGAGGGGCCAAGACAGAAGCCATCCAAAATTTGGGCAGATATTCCAAATGTTTGTGTTTATACTTCTGTTCACATTTAGGTCAGAAGTCCCCCCAAATAACCCTGTTTTCCTTGGCCTGTCAAGAGGCTCCCAGACCTCTCTCCCAATTCCACGCCTCTTATAGCCAAATG